TTGTTTTGAAGGGGGCTGCCAGTATGGCAGCTCCTTAAATTGCAATGCACAAGTTAATATTTCATTGCATGCCATGAAATGAGGATGGAGAGGAGGGGAAAAAAAGCATACAACTCATTCGACTCTCTGATTCTTCCCAGCAAATCAGCAAGAGCTGGTGTCATTTCATAATGAACATTCACCGACCATTCCAAGCTTCCAGCTGCCATGCTGCCTAACTTAACCCCTGCCGAAACAGGAGTGTATTTAAAGCTACATTAGCAATATTAAGGTATCTTTTACATTACATTCTACAAATGCACGATCAATGAAGTTGCGACATTGTGGTAAATGTAAATAAAAACAGAATACAATGATTTGCAAATCATGTTCAACCTATATTTAATGGAATACATGATAAAGACAAGATATTTAATGTTCAAACTGATAAATTGTTATTATTTTATTTTATTTTTTCCTTGCAAATAATCATTAACTTTGAATTTTATGGCTGCAGCAAATTCCAAAAAAAAAAAAAAACCTGTGAAAGGGTCATGTTTACCATTGTGTTACATCACCCTTTCTTTTTAACAAAATTCAATAAACATTTGGGAACTGAGGATACTAATTGTTGGTGCTTTGTATATGGAATTCTTTCCCATTCTTGCTTGATGTACAGCTTCAGCTGTTCAACAGTCCGGGGTCTCCGTCATATTTTACCCTCATAATGCACCACACATTTTGAATGGGAGATGAGTCCGGACTGCAGGCTGGGCAGTCAGTACCTGCACTCTTTTACTACCGAGCCACAATGTTGTAATATGTGTGGAATGTGGTTTGGCATTGACTTGCTGAAATTAGCAGAGGCAACAAATGTTCCTCCAAAACCGGTATGTACCTTTCAGCATTAATTGTGTCTTTGGAGATGTGGAAAAGACCCATGCCATTGGCACGAACACAGCCCCATACAATCACAGATGCCGACTCGTGGACTTTGCGTCCATAACACTTGGTATGGTTCTTTTCCTCTTTGGCCCGGAGGACACGACGGCCACAATTCCCCAAAACATGTTGAAATACGGAACTCGTCAGACCACAGAATACTGTTCCACTTTGCATCAGCCCATCTTCAATGAGCTCGGGCCCAGAGAAGCCAGCAGCGTTTCTGGGTGTTGTTGATGAATGGCTTTTGCTTTGCATAGCAGAGTTTTAAAGTTGCCCTTGCGGATGTAGCCCCGAACTTGACGTTAGTTTAGTTCTTTAACCCATGTGGTGATATAATTTACATGTTGATGTCATTGTATTCTGTTTTGATTTATGTTTAACACAATATCCCAACTTAATTGGACTTGGGTTTGTATTATGAACACAACTTGTATTTGATAGATAATTCCACAAGCATTGATTTATACTTGATAGACAAACAAATGGCCAAGAAAATATTCTCCTTTGCTCAGAGAACTCGCTGTCAATCGGCAAAGGCATAAAAGACTATGAAGCAACATGAAATGTGTTGGTGTGCTGTTTGCCTTTTACCCCTGGAGCATGGTCGCTTAAAGAGGATGAAATTAGGAATGAGGCTTTGTGCCTTTTCATTTTTGTGAACCATTAACGGTTACATCAGGGCTGCTTTGTCAATGGATAAGAGTTCCGTTGAAATATGAATACCAGTGAGGGGAGTAAGACAGCATGCCTCAGTGGAAAATGATATTGAACCACCCTTATATGTTGCCCGCTCTACCCACAGATGAGTCCAACCCCAGTCTGTCAAAAGACATCAGCGGTGTTCTCTCGACGGTGCCAGAGTGTTTCGACTCAGAGGGAGGCTTCCCGCTGGAAGATGAGCTGCACATAGAGCCCCTCAGCCTGGACGGTCTGAGCATGCTCAGCGATCCCGACATGGTACTGCCAGACCCATCTGTGGAGGATACCTTCCGCAGTGACAGACTCTGAATGGGACATTTTTATCACCCTTTCATCAATACACACACACACACACACACATACACACACACAGTCACATTTGCAGTATAAAGAGCAAAGTGCATGAATCTGAATATGCATGTGTTCGATCGGGCGATGGTGCATGCATTGACTGCCACTAAAAATCATGAAATGTGAATGATGTGGACACAGTACACGCAGACATGAACACACACACGCACACACATGTTTTGAGGAAGTTGGATGTTAAAGAAACCTGGTTTATGCCTGCTCCATGCAAAGGCATCCTCACACTTGCTTCAGCTCATGTTTGTCATTTGTGGTCATGGGAGTCATCCTCTAGGCTGCCCTGCCCACTGGAATCAAAAAGTCCTGAGCCAAACATATGAGCTGATCTATTGAGGAGTGTGGGCCATCCTTCTGTCACCCTTCTCAGCTAACCCTCGTCGCCATGACAGCAACGCTGCCAAGGTTACATACCATGGCAATCCCAAGAACGATGCCAACACCCAATTGACTTTTTTTTTCACTGCTCCCGTAAGTGAGTGAATGTCAGATGAGAGGTTCTTTGCTGGAGCGGTGGCATGTGACCGAGGTAAACATCCGCTTCCCTCTAGCTGAAGTATCAAACTGCTTCACGCTCTCGAACAATCGTATAAGGAAAAAGAATAGGAGCATCGGAGGTGTCAGTTGGAATCGAGAACAGATTCCTTCGGAGGTGTTTGCCACAGAGATCGACTAATATACGAAGTTGCAATTTTTGTATGATTCGAATGTACTACAAAACAAAAAGGGCAAACTGTTTACAAAGATATTATTTTGAGTACGTGTTACAAAAGAATACAAATGTTTGGATTTATAACTAAGAGCTCAAATTCTCATATGTGCTGCAAAAAAAAAAAAAAAAAGGCTCAATGTCCCCTCAGCAGGGACATGTTGTATGCATCAATTTTAAAAGATGAAAATAACATTGACATGTTTTTCTATTATTACTACATCCGTGTATTGTATTTGAAGTTTTGTACCAACTTGTACTGGCGCTTGCACTGGGCTTCAATGTTGTGAGAAAGGGCATGCGCTGTACTGCTGTGCATCACTTGGGACAAAGTGGCTGAGTGCAGACGACGCACGTGGACACGGGACAACATGGAACATTGCACTTCATGTCTTTTGCACTGATTGGCACATGGAGTCTTAATCCGCACGAATGTTTTTTTTTTTTTTTTTTTTTAATCACGACAACCCAAAGAAGTTGAATGAAGCCATGATGAAGAAGATGACACTTGTGTAAATTAATTTCATGAGAATTTAATAGATACTTTTGAAATCATTTCGGGCATTGAGTGCCCCTGTTGCCTGTTTCACTGAAAGTCAGGGACTGCAATTCAAATAGCTATATTTTGAATATCGTTAACGGAAGGATAGAGAGCATTGTTCTGGTTTTGCTCTTTTAGCTATGCAATTGTTTTGTTTTCAACCCCTCGCCACCACCTGTTGAACAGGTGCTTCATGTACGCTATGCAGTGTAGCTAACCCTGCGGGTTTTTTTTTTTTTTTTATGGGCAGTACATATTGTGAAGTCACAATATTACCTGTGTCCGGTGTCCACGGTGTTTCTCGGTCAGTCTGCTCTTGCGGGTTGTCACCAGATGGAGAACTGGGGTGTTTCCAGTGCCATTAGGAACGGCACGAAATCGAGAGCTCCCTCTTTAAGGCACTGTTTGCATTTTACTTTTCAGTCAGGTGATGCCCGGCGACAGAAAGGTTTCACCTTATGATATCAAAAATGAAGGGGGTGTTGGAGTTTGTTTATCAGAGTTTATATTTAGTTTGAGCTTATAGACATTTGTGCTGGCTATGTTGTAAACACCATTAGACAGTGGGATCACTGCGAGTGATGGAGCCACTTTTCTGTTTATTTTTCCTTATGTCTAAATGCATCTAAAGTGAATTTATGTCTGTCCCCCTCCCCGTTTCCGGGGTTCTCTCTTGCTGTCTCTCAATGCCTACCTTCTGCTGCCTTAAATGTGTATTTGTACTTTTTATATTCCAGCTAGCCACCGCTTCTCTATACTTGTATCAGCTGCCTGTGGTTCTTTTCTGTCAATTTAGTATCCATTTTTTTGGAGTGTGTCTTACTTTTTAGCCACATATGTACAGTTCTGTTATTTAAAGAAATGTCCACTCGTGTTACTACTTCTTTTGTCATTTGATCTGCGTCTTTATGGTTCCTCACATAAAAGTAAACTGTCTTGGTTTTTAATATGTGTTTAGTGCTTACCCTTTTGGTTTAATATAAACAATAAAAGTCATAACTGTACATTAAGATTGATACGTGTGACGTTCCTTCTTTTACCTGTAGATGGCAGTAGAGGCGCAGGTGTTGGCAACCACTTGTCCATTTTGTTCATTTATCTTTGTAGGATCTCTGCCTTCCGATCGGTTCTAGTTCCCTCCAAAGGTGGTGAACGGGGTCAACGATTCTAAGCAAGCCTTTATGGACATTACTTTTTTTTTTTATACTGGGTCACACTCATGTTGGAACAGAAAAGGGCCTTCCCCAGCCGCTTTTTACAAATTTGGAAGCTTGTAATTGTCCTTTGAGCTCCTGCTAGATGAATGAAGATTCATGGGAAACCAACTTACGATAAAGCATGATAGACAGATAGATGTGATAGTTTAATTGATTTGGGGGCTTCTATTTATGGAAAAGCTGACTGGAAATGATGCCACTTGTTTCCTATTAAATGACACCACGTGCTGTCAGTGATAATTCTGCAGGGACTTGATAAACATGTCACCATTTAATCACTTGTCCAATCTCTTATCTCAAAAAAAGTGTTCATGAAAATCATCCACCTCAATTAAGATGTCACATCAATGCAACCAACTGTTGTAATCGGTTTGGATGGAATTTATATAAACACAACACAGTACCAGGACTGAAACAGAATAAAAAGGGCAAAGAATTTTTCAGGGAGAAGTTGCAGTTACACTGGAAGGTTGAGATGGAGAAATCTCACTACACTGGGAGACCCAAACCCGGGAAGCTTTGACTGAGGCCAGGCTTATTACCCATAATTCATTGCGAACTTTGCCAAAGCAGCGGGAAACTGGCAACGCTCAGTGGAATTCCTATGTTGAAAAAATGTCTTCAAGTGTAAATACGAATGATTACATATTTCATCATAGTTAAATTTACAACTTCAATTTAATTTCCAAAATGTAAACGCACTTTGACTAAAAAGTCACCTTGCTATTTTGTCTTAGTGTTGATGCAGTGTTCAGCAACCTTCTGCTCAGATTGCTAGCTTTTTGGATGAGAGGCAGTCAGTCAGTCAGTCGGGCAGCCTGTCCCTCTCACCAGATGAGCCTGATCTCCCTCACCTACCCACCTCGACTGGTATTTTAAATGGCTTTCTTTATTCACAGTTTTGTTTTTCTTTGCGTTTTTTTTTTTTTTTGTAGTAGTGATTTTTTTGTGTTTTTTTGATTTGCAGTTGTGATTTTTTTTTGTTTGTTTTTCTGTTTTATTTGCAGTTGTGATTAGTTCTCAATTATCACTACTGTACAAAACTGCAATGTAACAACACACAACGGTGCCATGTCGATGATCTGGATTGTTCAAAATCAATATTTATCTCAAAACATGACAAAACATAACATCTCGCTGATTATTAAATGTGTGAATGTGAGCAGATCGCTCGAGAAGTGTTCTGCTAGTCATACTTGACTTGCTCTGACCAACTAATCAGAGGACAGAAAAATGTGAACATTTTTGTAGGCCAGCAAACTGCTCCCTGTGTGGCAAATTTTTAAAATTATTGCTAATATTTTTTGTCTTACATTGCAGATGAAATTGCCTTAGCAACACAATAGAGGCTGTAATCTGGTGGCAGCAAAAATATGCAAATCTAATGTCCACATCATGTACTCTTACTGGAAGCTGTGCAACCGCTGGCAATAGATTAATACAATTCTAAACAACAGATATTAGCGATTGAGGTTGTAAATGTAGGTCAGTGTAGAATTGAGGTTGAAAATGTAGGTCAGTGTTCATGAATGACAAAAATAAATTAAAAAAAGGTACTGCATGTTTGGTTTATTGACCAACAGGAAAAAAAGGTAAAAGGGACGATTGTCAGCATCCATTAAGGGTGGTATTTGAAACTAAATGGATGCGTCATCGTGTGCCCGTCTTGTATTTTGTGGACGCACAGACACTTCTTGTTTTCATCCGGAGCTCCCCTGGGCAGCACATACGTCGCAGCACACCTGAATGTCATGTTATGACATGTTTTGAATGTGACGCTGCCCTAATGGCTGTGGAAAGATTGAGGAGCTGGCACGCGTGCTCCAAGGCCGTAATGGTTTGATGTATGGTGGTCATAAAACAAAGAAGAGAGAATGAAGAGAATACAGTAACCCATGTGTTACAATTTCTACAATTTTTGTAGATTTTTGCGTATTGTCATCTTTAAATCAAAGACAAAGCATAAAAATTGTGTGATATGAAATATTCCAATTCATGTTTTACTTATATAGATTTATATTTATGTTTTGGTCATAGCACAATACCGCTTTTATTGTCCATAGAGGGCAAAAAATAAGAACTATATGTGTATGTATAGCACTGATGCCACTGAACATGTCGAGTGGTTGAAAGTAAAATAAATATTCAGGAATAATACTTTTACAATTTTTGTAAAATTCTATGTTGCGTTATATAAACTTATTTACATCGACTGCAGCACATGGATAACTTTGATCAATACAGCATAAACATGTCAATTACAAATATGTGTAGACAGTATGAAGAAAAAAATGATTTAGTTAGACATGAAACAAACAACAGTAGCGTTCCTACTTCATCTCTGATAACATTCAGTCAGCAAATGAAAAGTGCCTCTTCTCCAGTTGAAGATGTGCCACACCCCGAAGCCATTTACGCTCATCTTTCAATCTGTTGGCTTCAAACTCTGCCGTGATTTTGTTGCCATTACGAATGATTGTCGAAATCATGGTGGGCGGCCATGATTTGGCATCATCTTCTAAAGATTAAACTATTTTGACGAGAGGTTACTTGCCGTGCGGCGCTATCTCCAAACCACCGTGGAGAAATGTGTGTCAAAAACAAGGCAATACAACAAGCCTGTTCAAGTAGCACCCAAACTTGAGTTGAGTTGGCACAGCCTGCCCACGTTAGCATGAGCAGTTTAGCAGCTAATAACTAGCCGGCAGCCACCGGACGAAAGCAGTAATGATTCATGTCATTTTTTGATCATGCACATTTGCATGGAGCAATTATGCTGAGGTTGTATGTAGGATAATAACTTTAAAAATATTGTGTTTACATTTTAAGGCATATTCGTTATTCCTGAAGGGTCAATTTTTAGTACTTTACTGTGTTCTTTTATACTGTTCTACATTTGTTTTGCTGATGAATACAACTGTTTGAAATGAATGAAAATGTTCTCTGTTAATAAAATGTTGACGAACTTCATAATTATCAATGCTGTCAGCAATTTAAAAGCAATAAATTCGTTTTTTTAGAGCCCCACCCTCGGTCGGCAAATGGTTGCTGGTCCGCCAAAAGCTTGTACCGTGCTTGTCTAAACCGGTCCGTGACATAAAAAAAAAATGTTGAGGACCAGAGTTATAGTGGTTACCACATCTGCTTAACAGAGAGGGTGCGGTTCAAAGTTTGGTTCAAGATTTCAAGATGATGTGCAGTGCTACTTTTATGCCAAACTTAACGTTTTGGATTTAGCCTAAAAAGTTTCATTTTGCTTTCATTTGACCGGAGCACCTTCTTCCTCAAGTTTGGTGTGTCTCCCAGGTGGCTAGTGGCAAACTTCCACCGGGACTTTTTATGGCTGTTTTGGGGAAATGGCTATTTTCTTGCCACAATTCCAAAAAGGCCGGATTTGTGCAGTGTGTTACTCATACTTGTCCTTAGTTGTGGACCACTGCAGTTCATCCAGAGCGATGATGGGCCTCTTGGTTGAATCTCTGATCAGTGCTCTCCTCGTTTGTAAGTATAAATTCTAACGGGACGTCCAGGTCTTGGGAGGTTGGCAGTGGTCAGATACTGTCGCCATTTCAATGTGGTTGATTGAACCAGTGCTCCGTGAGATGTTTAAAGCTTGTGAAATCTTTTCATAACCTATGCCAGGGGTCGGCAACCCAAAATGTTGAAAGAGCCATATTGGACCAAAAAAAAAAAAAAAAAAAAAGAATATGTCTGGAGCCGCAAAAAATTCAACAGCAAATATAAGCCTTATAATGAAGGCAACACATGCTGTATCTATATTAGTTATATTAGCCTACTATCAAAATGACGAAGTTGGCCCCAAATACACAATGAACCTTCATGATTATTTTTTTTCCCTGCAGTGCAGCTTGTAGAAAAGGGTTGCCCAACCTTTTTTGACGGAAGATCTGCTCTTCGATCAACCAACCTCCCGCGATCGACCCGTAACCGCACGCACGCATGCCATAATGAGCAACAGCCATAATGGCCCCTAAAATGATCGAGGCATGGGATGCACTTTTGAAGCGTGTTAACTATCGTAGCTCACGTGTCACGTTAAAAATGCTTCTCTCAGCCATCCACATTCCCATTCTTTGCCAGTACCCTCGGTGAATTGTACATGAAATGCTGATTTTTTTTTTTTTCACAACAGCCACCTGCCTGTCATCCCGCCCTGCAAAAAGAAAATTGTGTCGCAGGCTATGACGAAAATTCTCGTGGACAGAAATGTTGAAATTTAAGATTTATTCTACACTTTTTACAACATTGGAAAATGTTAAGAATGTTTGTGTCATGTGTTTCCTCTTACAGAAACCATATTAAAACAAAAATATATATTTTCCTCCCCCATCTTCTTCAATTTTCAAATATTTTTGAAAACGCTCCAGGGACCCAGTAGGGCGGCGTCAAGAGCGGCACGCGGCTCTTGAGCCGCGGGTTTCCGACCCCCGACCTAGGCTAATCCTGCTATTAACGCCATTTATCATCATCAATCATTTAGGTGAACATCGGATCGTTACCAAACCATCAGGGAACTTTTGGAGTGAGTTGACTACACTGACACCAAAGGGGACAAATCATTTTGCATGCCCCACTTTTCTAAAAACAATTTAATATATTGTATGAATTTCGTTCCGCTTCATGATGGTGATTCTTCACCCCCCCCAAAAAAATCCAATTTCATATCTTTATGTATGAATCCTGAAATGTGGCACAAGGTCAAAGAGTTCATGGGGGCCGAATACTTTCGCAAGGCCAGTGTAGACAGATAGATAGATTTCTTGCGCGAACCAAATGCA